TATCTTTTAAAATATTTATTAAATTTTTTATTATATTTAAAAAATTAATTTTTGAAAAACACTACCGTCCAAATGGAGCCCTTCCTCAAGTCACAAGTGGGTAGGCAGGAAGTAGCTTACTGTTGAGATGCTACAATAGTTAGCTGTCCAAATTAGGGATCAATGATTCGACAAAGATAATTCGTTGACGACAGGACCCACCAAAAATAAAAATAAAAAAATGGAGCCGTCAACTTTTGCGAGCTTCCCGATATCCGAAGCAAGATTTCGGTAATTTTGGCGTGCCAAATCCGCAACCTTAAGAATACAACGAAATCATCTCAGCATCTCCGAATCTCCATGAAGAATCTCTCCACTTGCCCCTCTATTCCATTTTTCTTGCTTTCTTGATGGCTTGATATTTATTCCATTGTCACCATCGAATTTCGTCGCCCGTCTTCGCCCTCTAACTTCCGTATTGCTCCTGATTTATATCAGCTCAGCGGTTTAATCTTTTCTCCTACCTCCCAACCATTCATTTAGGCTTTTAAACATTGGATTTGACCCCTTTGTAATTGTAATTCTCGCCCCCAAAGTATTCTTTCTCTGGGCAATTTATCCAGTATAAGTACACACTTGTATGCATATCTCAACCTGAATTAGGATCCTAATCGGCCTTCTTTCTGAATTGATTCTTCAATTTGAGGTGCGTCTTTCATTTATTTATTAAATCCAGGTAAGAAAACAAAAACAAAAAAGACAGTTTTTTTCCCATCAGATCAACTTTATTTCCATCAGATCAAGCGGAATTTTTAGTTTCTTGATCAATCCTAAATGGTTGGTTGAGCAGAAAATGGGCAAGGATCAAAGGGATTTTGCAGAGACAAAAGTTGGGGGAGGATCATGTGACAACGATCAAAGGGTTTACAATTGTTCAAAGGAAGGGAAAGGGAAGAGATTGTGGAAGAAGGTGAAGTACCAGCTGGTAGAGTACCACTCGTTGCCTGGCTATTTAAAGGACAATGAGTACATTCTTGGTCATTACCGGTCTGGATGGCCTCTCAAGCATATACTGCTCAGCATTTTTACCATTCATAATGAGACCCTCAATGTCTGGACGTGAGTATTCTATGCCATTCCACCCTCAATATAGACAAAAAACATTTTTGTTTTGCTAGGTTAGGTTAATTATTGTTCCCTAAATTTTCTGATTTTGCGTGTCTTTGCACAAACAAACAGCTATGTTGACTGGTAGCTAATTGACAAGAAATAGCCAAAACTTTAGTAGCATGCATTAGAATCTTGATGAGTGTGGAGTTCCTCCCGAATTCCCAATTACTAGTACTTTGCATGTTCAAATGAACCTCCAAAACAACTATTTTGCTATTTGGAGTAGGCGTCAAGTCCCTTCTGATGTCCTCAATAGATTACATTTTCTGTCTTGCCATCAAGAATTCGCGGTATTGTAACTGCATACTATGTGGATTACCAATGTGACGAAGGCAAAGGAAGCCTTAGATTAACATTGGCTAGGGTGGCTAAAACTGAATCAATTTAAGTTTTTTTACAACAGCGTTAATGGAACAAATATTGAAGGTTGAATATAACTTTTGCTCCTGTTACCACCACTGCTTTTACATTAGGGCCCTTTCCTTTTTCGCTATCATCACTTGGCGCAAATAATAGATAGGAGCTCCAGTTTTAAGTAAAGCTTCTCACAGAGGCATGAACTGGTGTTTGTTGCAGGCACTTGATAGGTTTCTTTCTCTTCCTTTCCCTCACCATTTATACAGCAATGAAGGTCCCAAGCGTTGTGGAACTTCCTACTTTACAACATCTCCCTGATGTTTTGAAGAAAGCTGATCTTCAGAAATTGCAAGAAGAATTTTTGACTTGCCTTCCTTCCTTGCCACACATGCCTGATTTGCAAAAATTTCGAGACGAGTTGAAGACCTCATTGCTTTCCATGGATTTGTTGCCATCCCCATCTACTTGGCATGTTGTAGAGCTCCTCACCAATTGTTTGCCTGAGCGATTCTTGCATAGCAACCATACTGATGCCTGCGTTCTGGTACTGATTATTCCTTGGCTCTTAATTACAGCAAGGAATCCACTTTGTAAATCAGAGCATGATTTTGTGTTTTTGAATTCTCTCCTGTCTCCTCATTATAGTCTTCCTTAAAAGCAGGAAACTTTCGCAGTCAAATTTTCACCCTGAAGAAATGTGCATTCTAAGAATCTGGCGTAGGTAGTAACTGTTACACTGAGTAAAATAAGCTGTGGCTATCCATGTCATCTTTCTGATAGAGTCCTTAAGGTTTTTTGTTTAATAACTTTGTCTGTGAGGCCTCAAAATTTCAAATTATTTTTCACCTTGTAAGTTTCTTAGTTCTCTTTGATCAGTCCACAATGGCACTTATTTTAGTCTTCCATCCTGTTTGGTTTACTATTTGATCTGTTCATGTAAATCCACTAAATTCTTTTGTGCTCTTATTGAAAAATCAACCCATGTGGAATATACATGAATCTGAACGTAAGCTACCTGGATCTGTGAAATTGACCCATTTATTCGCTTATCTGTCCTTGCTTTCTCTGTAAATTAGTTTGCAGATTCTGATTCTGTAATATCCTCTATATGATATGTTACCTTTTTCACTTGCCTCAGTAGGCATGTGATGTGCTCTGTATGACATATGATCTTAGTCAAATGTATCTGTATCCAAGATAGTTGAAAATTCTTCACACATCAGGTAATTAGGGTCTGCTTAAAGCTCGCTGCAGATTGGCTTACTAGGTATCTGTACAGCATTTTATTCGGGATATTAATTTTTTATTCATCCGAATTTTCAAAACATACATTCACTTCAGAGTTGTCACCAGCAAATTGTGTTTTATCAACTGTTTTGGTAATTCAGCCTAAATTTCTCCTCCATCTTATTTTCCTTGGCTTTAGAAATCATCAGAGATGAGATTACACCAACTTCATTACCTCTGTTGAATTGTTTAGTAGGTTGAATTTTGAACTTCTGATGTGGTTTTACAATTTGATAGTCTTTAAGTGCACGTGATATCTCAATCATAAGTTCAGGATCTTTTTGTCATGGTGTCATGTTTAGAGTCCTCTCCTATGTGATTAATTTCATCCTGAAGGCTTAAAGTTCACAATTTCGGTGCTTTGCAATGCCTTACTTTTGAATTATCTACTGATATAGGAGATGATTTTTTTTAACACTTGTTATGTTGTAACTGCTCATTATGGGGTTGTGGAGTGGTATCCACCCTGCTTTGCTTTTAGAAAATTTCACCAGAAACGATGATGTTACCTCTTCTTTGATTTCTGCTTGTCAGTCATATGACTGTATATATTATTTTGCTTCAGTTTAGATAATAACCTGAAAATTTGCTGGATTAATTTTCTTTTTGGAATTTTGAATTTTAGGTTTGTAGACCTAACAAGCAGAGGTCTTGTATATAGAGAATATTTGGAACACAAATTCTTCTTTCTTAGCCATAATTATTTATTGCAAGTAATTTTGATTCTTTGTCCAAATTTTGGTGTTTTGATGCAAAAATGATTTCATTATCATTGTGCATCTGTAAATGCTCTTGATTCCCTACTTCTGCGAGAAAAATTTCATTTAAAGCAAGTGTATTGAGTCCCTAATTCTGTATTTTCTGTTACTTCTTTCTGATTCTGTGGAACAGAATTTTTTATTGATGATTTACATGCTTCTGATGATCTAGGATTCCCCTCTTCTGAATCAGTGATCTCTTTCTAGTTAAATTGTTTTCTCGTTGAACTTTGTTGGCAAGAATTTCATGTGCAGCATTAAGATGAGCATTCTTTGGCATTTCTCGTGCTGTGTTTGCAACTTGAACTTGTACAGGAGATGCAACGGACCAAAGTAATCTCATGTGAAACTTTCTGCATCTATGAGAAACTAAACGCATGAATTTGGAAATGTTCTTTTGTATCTTGTTCTGTTTCGTACCTTGGATAATTGCTGCTAACATCTTCTCCAACATGACTCGGTGCAGCGTGGCATGAAGGAAGATGTGGCTAACATGATAGCACCGTTACTGGTGAGACCGATTACACGCTGGCCATTCTTTGCTTTCATGGGTGGTGCTATGTTTTGCTTGCTGGCAAGCAGCACCTGCCATTTGCTCTCATGCCACTCAGAGCGTTTATCATACATCATGCTCAGGCTTGATTATGCGGGGATTGCTGCTCTAATCTCGACCTCCTTCTATCCTCCTGTTTACTATTCCTTCATGTGCTATCCATTCTTTTGCAACTTGTACCTGGGATTCATTACTATTCTGGGAATTGGTACCATATTGGTTTCCCTTCTACCAGTATTCCAAACTCCAGAATATCGTACTATGCGGGCATCCCTCTTCTTTGTGATGGGGTTGTCAGGTGCGGCGCCAATTCTGCATAAGCTAATTCTATTTTGGAACCAGCCTGAGGCACTTCATACAACTGGGTATGAACTTCTAATGGGAGCTTTTTATGGTATTGGAGCACTGGTCTACGCCATGAGAGTTCCTGAAAGATGGATGCCTGGAAAGTTTGATATTGCTGGGCACAGTCACCAACTCTTCCATGTGCTTGTAGTTGCAGGGGCTTATACCCATTACCGTGCAGGGCTAGTTTATCTAAGGTGGCGGGACCTGCAGGGTTGCTGAACTTCTTGTGATTAAATGGCTATCTGTTGATGTTGTACTAGGATTTTAAAAATTACTGTGGACTAGTTTTGGTGTGTCTTAGAGTCAAAGTTGGAAGTAAAAGTCTGCTGCCCAGTATGTCTGTAGATCTGTACCTTTCGTTTTTGTTATTGCAGTGAATAACTAAAAGGGAAATTTGCCAAATTGGTCCCTAATATTTACCAAAAACATTTTTTTAGTCCTTTACATAAAAAATCAGCCAGAATGATCCTTCACATTTCAATTGTGAGCCAATGTGGTCCTATTGCTCGTTTTTACTCATTTTTCCGGCTAAAAATAGCACGCCCCTCTCACATGGTCATATTTTTAGGGGCAAAACCGGAAACACATTTCATTACCCGTTGAAAGTAAAAGGAATGGACAACCACCAAAATACACATTTCACCTTTGGCTCTCAAAGTTTCAAGAAACCCTAAATTGCATCCCCGAATGGTGGCGAAAATCCCAGAAATGTTCTTCTGGAGGGTTTCAAGGTCAAGCTTAGGCCTTTCGAAACTCTTGCCAGAAGGGTCACCTATGCGGCCGGTGGCTCCCCCAATGAGGGCAACAGCACGGTGACTGCAGCGGAGGAACCAAGAGAGAACAATAATACCAAGGAGATTGCCGAGGTGGAGGCTGTCGACGGTGGGGTTGAAACCACAGTAGACTCGAAGAGGTGGTTGATTAGGGGCAAAGGAGGAGCAGATGGACCTGAGACTATCGCTGGTGAGAGATTCCAGCAGACCCCTCTGTTCAAGAATTTCCACCACACTGGAGGAGGTATTGGCGGTGTGTGAGCGTGGAAGATGGGAAGCAGCAGCTGCTGCTTCTTGTGAAAGCAAAGTAGAGGTAGAATAATAAGCGAAGTGGTATCAGTATGGAAATGGTGCAAAAGCTCGGAGTCCTTTGAGAAGAAGACAAGAGCAGGAAGAGGTGGAGGGAGAAGAAGGCAGCCTGTTTAGTCTGAACAAGGCGACCGCCCCAACTCCAACAGCAGCAGTAGCAGCCGAAGCCACCACAGACATCTCTTCTGCTGCTAGATATATATATATATATATATAAGGGCATGAAACTAAAAGATCTTTCGAAAAAAATCAGAATTTAGCAAACGCCAACAGCAGTGGAATGCTGAAAAATGAGATTCGAGCTAAATACACACTACTTATTCAACAGCCAACAGCAATTTCAAGAAACCCATTGTGAAGTCCCATTTTCCCGATTCGGTCTGCATCTTTTTGATTTTCTTCATTAATTTATGGCCAAATTTTCTATTATTTCTCAATCACACCTTACAGGTTTGTCGTCGTCATCATCAGCAATACATTTCCAAGTAATGCTTGTTAATTCGGGGATGCAATTTAGGGTTTCTTGAAACTTTGAGAGCCAAAGGTGAAATGTGTATTTTGGTGTTTGTCCATTCCTTTTACTTTCAACGGGTAATGAAATGTGTTTCCGGTTTTGCCCCTAAAAATATGACCATGTGAGAGGGGCGTGCTATTTTTAGCCGGAGAAATGAGCAAAAACGAGCAATAGGACCACATTGGCTCACAATTTAAATGTGAAGGACCATTCTGGCTGATTTTATATGTAAAGGACTAAAAAAGTGTTTTTGGTAAATGTTAGAGACCAATTTGGCAAATTTCCCTAACTAAAAAGTATCAATTGGGAGTAATATTTAACTTTAGATTTTGTTCCCGTGTGGATCTGGGTTTTATCTGGGGAGGACAAAAGGGTACGCGATACAGAAGCAGTTTGTATGCATTTTCTGTTATGCTCTTAGATTAAACTTAAAAATGCTTTTCAATCGAATGATATGAGGATAATGCAACGGAAATTGACGTACAAAATTATCTGCTGAAGTTTTTTAGTTGTAACTCGTTGACCTGTCATTTATGAGCAAGGAACCCAAAAGAAACAGGAATTTGGTTTTTCTCACCGTGATGCGTTCAACGTTCCGGTATCAGAACCTAAATTGAAGACGATGCAAAACTGAAAGCTTTGAAAAAAGTAAATATTCTCTCTTCCGTTCAAGAACAAGGGAAACAAAAGTCATCATCAAATGCCGAAGATGGCAAGAGACATTTACGGGCGATCTCCACAAACTGTGGAATGGACAAAATGAACATTATTATTTGTTTGCTCTCGTTGAGAGTCGAACTCAAGACCTCCCGCTTACTAAACGGGTGCTCTAACCAACTGAGCTACGAGAGCGCGTTTGGACAGTGATGCTCTCATTCCTATTACTTTTTTAAATAGTTGGACGCCCAACCCCACAGAATCTCATCACATGACTGCAGTGCCAAATGTAATCCCGGGAAAAGGACCCACTATGATTGGGGTTGGGTGCGGTTCCATCTGATTGTTGTTGTATTTTGTACAGTACGTAGATTACAATTGCATTACATTTGAAATAGAGTATTATTCCCGGGAAATGGTGTGTTTGGATAGACTATTATTTGGAATAATTATTGTAACACTTTTTGTGATGTGATGTATGTGAGATAAAAAGTAATTGAGAATATAAAAAAGTGAATTGAGAAATATGTTTATGATGCAAGCGAAATATTATTTGAGATAATTTGACAATCCCAGGATATTTTACTCAAAGTAAAAGCAGTGTATATGAATGAAATACTTGATATATATTAAGTAGAATATAATAATATATTTGTATACAAAAAGCTTGAACATGTACAAAACAACCGGATGGAATGCACAAAACATAATTGCATTGAGTTCTTATCCGAACTCCTAAAGCGAACCGTAATGAACCAATCTTTATAATGTTTATGACCTTCGTTAGGATTATGATCTTTATTGCCTACCGCATAAGGAAGTATAGCCCACTAAGGGTGCATTTGATAAGGTTAAAGTTTGAAATTTGAAATTTGAATCTATTAGATTATTAAATTGTTAAGTATTAAACTTAATATATTTGAATGCTTATCACATTCAATAGTAAGTTAATAATTTATCATTTATTTTGGTGACAAATTTTGCCTAGAACTGTAATCGAATCGAGCTATTTGCGAGCAGTTCGGTCAAAAACTTGACTTGGACTCGAGTTGACCGAATTTGAGTATTCAGATGCAATGTTCGAAGGCTTGTCAAGTCTTATCTAGTTTTTAATTTTAATTCTTTAACATATTATTATTATGAAATTACCTTTATACAAAAAAAAATGGTTGAATTTACGAAATTTTTTAAGTTGTACGAAATTTTTTAAAAATGAAATGTCTTTTCACTTAAAATATTATCAAAAAAAATGAAATTTTCTGACTTAAGTTCAATAAAACTTGTATTGACTCGCACCAATGCGAGTCGAGCTCGAGTTCTGTGAGCAATCATCAAGCTCGAGTTCAAGTTTCAATAATACTATTCGCTCGAGCTCGAGTTCGAGTATGGCGATATTCGACCTCGATTACATCTCTAGTTTTGTTTAGAAAATTAAATGTCACTTAATTAATTTAGATGTTTAACTTTTGATTATCAAAAAAATTGAATATGTTAAGATTTGAATCCATAAAATTTAAGTGCTGAATTGGGTTATCAATCAGACCTAAATCTCAGCAAGATTACTTCCTAAAATACGAGCGAGAAGTGGTTAGTTCGGAAAATACTGAGCGTGGCCTCTTCAAGTGTAGGGTATCCAATATACCCTTCATTGCTTTACTTATTCCTTTCTAATTCTTGGGTAGAATTCACTCCATATGTGTATATATATATATATATATATCTTCCGAAAGTCGTCATGGTTTAGGAAAATAAACTTGTAGATTTTGCATAATAGATTTAAGTAGTTCGAAGCTAAATGTATAAATTTAAGTGTATTTGATCTAGGAGCATATATATGCTCTGCCCTTAAAGACCGACTAACGTTTGTTAATGGAGATTTCTTTCCTTTTCAGTTCACAGGACAGTAGCCTCCTCAAATTCCCGACGCAGGGCACTGAGATACGCAGTAAATCCCGAGAATTGACGTTAATAAAAAGGCAATAAATAAGGAAGCCTCAGCTGATCCTCGATCAAAATGTCGGTGCAATTTCCACGTGTCAGAATCAAGAGATGCACCCTCCTGATCCACATTCCATACCAGTCCACAGACGTAAGCGGAACCGACGGACCCCAATTAAAATTTAGGGATAATTTTAGAAACCTTCCTGAGGTTTCTAACAATATCGCTAGCCTCCCTTAAATTTTATAAAATTATGCAAACCCCATGAGATTAAGATTTTGATAATAAAGTACTCCAATTAGAAAAGCGAATAGTAAAAAAATATTTTAAGACGAGAAATAAAATTTTGATTTCATAAATATCCCTTATGCATGCATATAACTTGTATTAGTAAAAGAATGAAAATAATTAAAATTTAGAAATAATTAATACACACATTTCACCACTCAAAAAGTTTATATTTATAAACTTAGACAACACAAAAAAGCAACAAAACTACACTAATGATCACAAGATTCAACAAAATAGACTAGTTATCATTTTTGATGTGATGTTTATTATGATTCTTGTGATTTTGAACATAAAAAATTTTCAAAATTTGTCTTTCTTTTTCCTCCATTCTCCTTTATTAATATCTAACGATTAAGTAATTAGAATATTAATTAATTACTAGTAACTAATTAACAAAAATAGCTGTTGAAAATTTCTTTAATGATGAATGATGACTTGTATTTAGAAAATAACATTAATTGATATACCTAATGAAGGAAGGAGGAAAAAGAAAGACAAAATTTGAAAGTTTTTTATTCAAAATCATAAGAATCATAGCATACATTATTTTTAAAAAAAATGACTAGTCCATTTTATTGATTCTTATGATCATTAGTGCAATTTTGTTGTTTATTTGTATTATTTAATTTATTAAATGTAAATTTTTTGAGTAGTGAAATATATGTATTAATTGTTTCTAACTTTTAATTATTTTTATTTTTTTACTAATACAACTTATATATATACATAAGGGATATTTATGAAACCAAAATTTCATCTCTCTTTTTAAAAGTATTTTTTTTAATATTATCTTTTCTAATTGGACTAATTTGTTATCAAAACCTTAACCTCAGGGAGGTATATATAATTTTGTAAATTTCAAGGGAGGCTAGTGATTTGTCAGCAACCTCCCCTGAGGTTCTGAAATTATCCCTAAAATTTAAAAGCCCCACCCACTCTCAACAATAATCACCACTGTCCATTAAAACAAACGAAACACCGGGAGCAGCGGAGCAAACTCAGCTCTAAACTGCTAAAGCAATGCAGTTGTAGTTGCAGTAGCAAGGAAGGATTACGATCATCACCATCCAATACACAAAAGCCACGCCCACGCAATCCAATGCTGAGCAGCTTTGCTTTTACTTTCCCAGACTCGGCCAAATTACTCTTCGGCGTCCATTCAGTCAAGCGGCGAACCACCTCTAGCTGACGCACTCAATTTTCCAGATGGCCATAAACTCTCACTAACGGACGAACCTCACCTCCTCCACCTAGGTGGCAAAACCAGGCGCAGGCGCTTTCGTAGCGCCCTTAAAATGCTATCTCCAGACCAGTCACACCTTCAGACAGCAGCCACCATGCCTAAGCACAACAGCCTCCTCCGCACCAAAACCTCGTCGTTTTTCTCCAGCTGCTTTCTTTACGCTGCCGGAACTTCCGCTTCCTTTTTATTAGCCTGGGCCTTCTGGTCCTTCTTCAGTAGCCCCGCCCCTTCTGCGAATCCCTCTTTCTCGAGGGGCCTAGCTTCCGAGGCTGCCCTCAGCTGCCCCGCCGGGAAAGCGGGTCACAACCGGAGCTACGATCCGCCCGACCCGACTTTCTATGACGACCCGGAATTGAGCTACACCATTGAGAAGACCATCAAGAACTGGGATGAGAAGAGGCGGGAGTGGCTCGAGAAGCATCCCTCGTTCGCCGCCGGAGCAGCTGACAGGATTTTAATGGTCACGGGTTCTCAGGCGACGCCCTGCAAGAACCCTATCGGGGATCACTTGCTGTTGAGGTTCTTCAAGAATAAGG